AAACCTAGAAATTTCACCCCACCAACAAAATTGCTCTTTAAAAATTAAGGTCTTTCTTTCCACTTCCAAAATGTACAATATTAACACTCAGAAAAATATTTGGTTGTAGACAAAAATATACAATAAGTAAAACAGATAAATATATACAATTATATATTGCAGGCTCTATTAGACTGGCTTTTAATACAATTATTGGCCGTTACTTATTGCTATCATTACTCTGGGCATTTGTTTTAAAATGTGAAGGTCCTTTCTTAACAGGCTCCCATTCATTTCCATGGTAAGTCACAGATGTACCAGTATCAAGAAAGAGGAGCTAGCACCTCTCTATTCCCCTCACTCCCATACCACCCTCCAAAGGCTCTATGCTGCTTCATCCATTGCCCTGACCCAAATCTCCACAACTTTCTCTTCTTATTTACTTCTGGCAATGTACTCATCACACTGGCCATCAGTCAGAAAGTGGTAATGAGTCTGGCATGTCACAAACAAGATGCTGAAATTGTTTGCACACATTATGTTCATCATTATGTACTCCTGCTACTAATGAAACTACATTTAGGAGCCACGATAGCAAGAATTTGGCTGCAGAAATAGGAATAAATGAGAGACACAGCAAACCAGGGCCTGCAGGATGTCTTTGCCAAGAATGGGCAAGTTGTTTGGCCACGCCATCACACACCATGGACAGAGGCAGCACAGATTTCTAGCTAAGAATACTGCTTCAAAGTGAGGCCCTGCAAACTTTTTCTCTGCTACCTACTTACCCTGTCCTTAAGTAATTACTTAACTTCTCTATGCTTCTGTGTCCTCATCTATAAAATTGAGATAACAACAGTCTCTACATTTTGGGGAGCTTTAAATAAAGATTAAAGTAACTACAGAACTCTTAGCCCAATGACTCAAAAATAATAAGCAGTTAGTGAACATAAAAGGAAGTGGCTATATATTTCTGTGTTTTCCCCCTTTATCTTCAAACCTGATCACCCTAACATTCTCACCAAGACCCAATGTTTGTCCATATTATCTATCTTTACCTATCTAATGTCTACATGTAGAGTCTTCCTTTGCTGTATAGCAATTACCTTGGTGTTTTCCATCTCAGATTTACAGATTTCACTTTAATTCACCTGAGACATATTCCATAAAAACACCAATGTATAATGGGAAAAGATTTAGACACAGCATTGTCCAACAGAAACACAACAAGTCATACATGTGATTTTTCACAAGTATCAGTAGTCAAACTAAGTGCTCAGTGACCATATGTGCCTACTTTATCAGATAGCAGAAGTGAGGGTCAAATATATCTAGGTTCAAATTCTAGCTGTGCTATTTATTTGCCACTTACTTGCTTTAAATTTCATATTGCTAAAAATAACTGTCTCACATACAGGCATGGTAGCACATACCTGTAATACCATCAGTGTGGGAGGCTGAGGCAGGAGAATTTTAAGTTCAAGTTCTATTTGGACAATTTAATGAGACTCTGTCTCAAATTTTTTTAAAAAATTAAATCAGGCTAGGAATATAGCTCAATGGCTGATCACCCATGGGTTTGAGATCCAACCATAAAAAAAAACCTGCTAAATAGTATTATGAGACGGAAACAAAATAGTATAATCTAAGTGCTTAGCACCATCTCTAAACTTATGGGCACTCGCTAAATGAGAATTCCCTCATCTTAGTCTTCTACTCCTGCGCTGCTCTACTCCTTCTTCTGTCTCTTCTAATGCTAGCATAAGCTTTAGCCTGTTCCGTCACCTACACAACGGCCCCTAGCAGCTATAGATTTTACAGGATGGCCTTATCTCTAAAAGCTATGGACACTTTCAGTCATGATCTAAGTAAGTGGCCCCAAGCAACTAAATCACCTGTGCCTAGAGAAGGGACCTCCAGCCTCCCTGCCCCTGTCCCTACTCAGCTGGTCCTGTTGCCTACTCAGCATGTACTTGCCTCTCACTTAGCTGCTACCAGGGCTGGGCTGCCTCAGAGACACTGTTGACATCAACGCGTCTCAATTTAAAGAGAGATTGGCCTCAAAAGTTTAAAATATTGAGAATTAGTCTGAAAAAGAATTGGCTAATGTCCTTCAAAAGTGGTGAAAAAGAATAAGAATAGTTACAGAATCAAGGAGACTAGAGAGACATGAGAACTAAAACTTAACTATAACATCTTGAATAGATCTTTGGCCCCAAAATGGACATCAGTCAAAAACTAGAGAGTGAGTTAGATAATGTACCAAGGATGATTTTGTGGTTGTGATAATTATACTACACTTTATATAATATTAATATGAATGGATGGGTAGATGGGAATTCTCTAACTTTCTGTTATTTTTGTAATGTAAGTCCAACACTATTTCAAAAAACACGTTAAGATGGTTTTAATGTGATTATTTGGAACTACATTTTAAAGGAACTTCTATCCCAACGGACCTCTTGAGTGATATATTATTGTAAAAGAGTACTACTTACGTTAAGCCTATTGTAGCAAGGCCATCACACAGGTTAATGAAAAGTCAATTCCAAGGTATAGAACATCCACCATAATCACTACTACTAGTTTGTAAATCCACTAAGATGTGTGAGGCCACCTTTATACACTCAGGAATACTGAGGACTTAATTACAGCAAATCATATGAGCTGTGATTTTATTAAATAAATATAGCTTTTGAATTAACACTACTGAATAACATGCTTAAACAATAGCTCCCTTGGAACCAACTTTTAACAGAAAGAAAGAGTCAGGAAAAGATAAAGAGATTCAAAAACCACATTCTAGTAGGTACCTGCTTCCCTTCCTTAAACTTCAATTCCCTTAGTAACAGCATTAGTCAACAAGCTTCAAAGGAAACCCCAGCAACAGAAGGGATAAGCTGTTCTGCTATATCATGTGTTTATGTAACGAACTCAGTCATAGCTACTAGGCAATTTGAGAGAGGACTTCAGTATGATATGGAAGATGCATGGCCAAGTACTTAAGTAGCAGCAGCCAGAGGGGAACTGGCATCATACATTCAACCCTTCTTTTAGAAGTAATTATTGATATTACTATTCTTTGTATAAAAACTCATGCATTATTAAAAAATGAATAAAAGTAACAGAAAATAATAAGAGTATATACCTCTACTATCACTGTATCTTACACAAAGCTTACAAACTTATCTCTACTTACAACTTACTGTCAATATCCATTCATCTGCCTTTGTACCCAAAGAGAACCTCAACATTTCCCTGTGCCACCTACCACCAGGTTACCCTCACCCTTTTGTTTTAAGTCCCTCTGTTTTAAGTACTTAACACAAAAAAGGTGAAGGTCCTATACCTACTGCAATTTACTCATTAGAAATTTTATGTCTTCTAAATTGTGTATTTTTATTGTGATCATTAGAGTTTTAGTTACAAAGTTGCAAACTGAAAGTTTTCCAGAAATCATATGTATTATAGTAGAAACGCTGTATTTCTACATGTTTGGACTACATAAAATGTTATCCTGGGAAGTTTTTAAATATAAAAAGTCACATAACTTTGCTTCCAATGACAACTTATATACCAATGAATATTAATGTCAATGTATAAATGAAAAGATTAATTTATTCAGTATTATCTTCAAAAAGATTAAGTTTATTCAGTATTATCTTTAAATTCAACATTCAGATAGGTATTCCTATATTCATCCCACACTTCTTAAATAGGTAGGATACTCAAACTTAGTAATGAAAATCAGCCTCTGTATTAAGGCCAAAGAGTACGTTTTTTGTATGGGAACAAAACATTCAGTGTTGTTTGACACAGAACAAATATTTCTATGAGCATTTATCAAACAAACATCAATCTTTTAAAAATGATGCAGTGTACAGATTGTATAAAACTAAGTGTCCAGAAAGCATATTCACTCTGAAATCAAATATGTACTCTCAATATTATATATGTGGCTTTTAGATTATTTCCTTAGGCTACAGAAGAATTTCATGTCAGACCTTAATATTTTTAATGATTACTTGTTGTTAAATGCTATGTCAACACTAAAGCATTCTTTTATGTAATACTGGCTCCTACTAGCAATATGCACTTGAAAGAAAATATAAAATCTTTGTACATGACAAGAATAGAACATATAATTGATTTACTAAATATATGGTTCACCAAGAATAGTTATCAATTATTATAATAACTCTCATTTGAATACATTTTAAAAATTAATTCATGTAATAAATATAAATTGCTTTATTATTTACCAATAAGAATAGTGCTCTTTTTTCAACATAATCCAAGATGTGCTGGAACATTTTCATGGACCTGTACACCACTGAGTTTCAAAGAGCCTTTTCAATTATTAATTACCTATTGAAATGCACTTGCTTAGAGATAGTCAGCACGTTTCCCTTGGAAAAAACTACTGCGCAGTTGTCTGCTTGTAGCATGACCTCCTTCACCTGGGTGGGTATCTGCTCCGTCACCAACTAAGTGAGGATGTAACCTTGTCAAACCACAGGCAAAAGAATAATGAGCATACAACAGGCTTTCCCAGCATGGAAAAGGGTTTTAAGGAGGTTGCAGAAATAGTACTCTGAATGACAAAATAAAAGAACACTCCAAAGAGTAGGTTAATATTGAAGAAAGCACTCAAAACCTGAGAGCATTTAATCCCCATCCCTGGAAGTCTGCCACACAAAACTCCACTCCAATGTATTTAAATCATTAGCTACTAACCAGGTTTGGTTAATACATTTGCAAATGGTCTGTGGTAGATCAATCTTGAAGGAGATGCCACAGAGTATCTCATCAAAGCCTTAACCAGTGGTAAAGAAAAAGTACACGCTGTTTTGCTCCCACCGATTATATCATCCAACAAGAAAAATCACTACAATTCAACAATAAGAAATACAAATTGAAAAAATCTTCAATCAATAGTAGGTTTTACTACCTCTAAAACAAACAACAGAAACATTTTTACATTAGCTGCCACCCCAGTCCACAGATGCCATACAAGAAATCAGGCTGAAACATTTTTATAAATAGCTGAAACCAGAAAAAAATTAAGCAAGTTCTGTTGCAGTTTTCTCAGTGTGAATTTACTTTTAAAACAAACAAAATCTCAAATCTAAACCACTGAAGCATGTACTAGGACTATGTATTTTATCATTGTGTCAATTATGCACACTTTTGACATTCTTTTTTTACAACTAAGACAAGAATAAATTTTTTGTTCCTGACCAATTAACAGAGAAACAGTGCCACCTTTTGGTTCCAAACAAAAGCCTCCAGTGCAGTCTTCCAAATTCCTTTTTTCAGTTAAACTTCTGACATACATAAATATTACTAAATTTAATATCATAATTATCCAAAATTGTTTGCTTCAAACACTAAGAAAGCAAGATGCAAAACCTCAAAATATTCCAAAGTAATACCAAACATGTATATTTTGGATCATCAGTATAATTAACATTTTATCAAGCATCTGGTACCAGAACCATGTCAATCAACTGATTTATCTTAACTATAAAAGAAAGTCTTTTTACAACACTGTCACATTTCAAAACTGATTTTTTAAAACACTTATTATACTTAATTGTACTCATTAATTTCATAATTGGCCATCTGGTTTAACAGCAGATTTCCAGTTAAATCACCAACAATACAACCCAAATATCATATTTTAATTACTTACACCAATGACACGATGTCACCACGTTGAACGTGAAGATTCCTCGCTTTCCAGTGGTTCAGAAGCACCACATCTGATGACTGGCTTCCCCCGGGGTTCAAAGAAGGCTAGAAAGTGAGGAGAACAGACACATCTATCATTTGTACTTTTCAGTCTTCATGGTTCCTTGCACTTCATAGCTTGAGTGGAGTGCAATAAAACATTTCTAATATAGTAATAAATTGCTGTTCTAAAGTAACTGCAAATGATGAGTTTTCAAAAAGGCTCCCTGGGATTCCTCATCCAAGAACCAGAAAAAATAAATTCCCAATACTTATTTGAAAGGAAAGTGTGCTAGATATTGTCTCCACTCAACTTTAGCAAGGAAGTAGGGAAAGCTTTAAAAAGGATTAAAAGTATGAGAAAAATGACTCAATACACCCAATAGAATATTCAGAAGTACAGGCAAAGCACAGTAGTACATATGAAACACTGGTTTCACCTGGGGAAAAGAGGCAGTATTTTCAAATCAGCTAGTAAAATACTCAAAAATTAAAAATAAAAACTAGAGAAAACATACAGGGGAAAGAATAATCATGAAAAGTGTATAGATTCCCCCACCTTTATCTTTTTCTAAGTTTGAGCCTAGAAAGTAGCATTCATCCTAGGAATCCTGTGAGTCTAGCTGTGCCCAAGGACTGGTGGCACAAGAAGTGAGAAGCATTTGGTGTAGGAATTCATCCAAAAGAAATGAGAGGCCTCTACAATGCAAAGCATACCATTCTAAAAAAGGAGGTTAAGGACATCAGAAAACTGAAAAATGAGGCTGGGGAGATAGCATAGTGGGCTAAGTGCCTGCCTGGGAAGTGCAAGGACCTGGGTTCAATTCCCAGTACTTCTGGCTGTGCCAGCCCCAGGTTGAGCCTGCCACTAAAACTGGGTATGGTGGCGCACGGCTGTAACCCCAGCACTGGAGAGGCTGAGACAGGAGGATCACTATGAGTCTGAGCTCAATAGTGAGACCCTGTACCAAACAAAATATTTTTAAACATTTTTTAAAAACTGAAAAATATCCCTATTCTTGTGTAGGCAGAATAATGTAGTTTAAAATGAGCATACTTCAAAAACTGATACAGAAATTTCACATAAATCTAATCAAAACACCAACAGGTGCCAGCCTGGCAACCAAAAGGTCCTGAGTTCGATCCCTGGTTCTGAAGAAAAAAAAAAAAAAAAAAAAAAAAAAAACCTCAAAACAAAACACCAACAGTACAGTATTCTTCACAAGTCTAGAGAAAATAATCCTAAATATAAAATCAGAAGAGACCAAGAATGGCAAAAGAAATCCTGGGCAACAAGAGCAAAGCAGGAGGTATGATAATCCCAAGTTTGAAGTTATATTAACAAGCTACAGTAATTAAAAACAGCACAGTAATGAAGTAGCACAAAAACAGACATGTGAATCAGTAGACCATAATAAAAGCAGCAGAAAGAAAAACCTGAAACCCTCATCAACTTGATCTTTAACAAAAGAGCAAAAACATACATTGGAGGAAAGATAGGCTCATTTATTAAAGAAAAGTAGATACCCACATGAAGAACTACTAAATGTATGGTATCCAAAGTGACTTTCTCCTCCTCTGTGCTAAATCCACAATACTTTATGCTACAACACTGAGCATAGGAGCCAGGGAGATAGCTCAGTAGAATAAGCACTTGCCTGGCAAGCGCAAGGTCCTGAGTTCAGTCCTCAATACTGAAAAAAAAACACTGAGCTGAGCATATTACACTAATGTAATTTTTGTTTTATTGTTGGTCTTCACAAATAATCAGGATGCATTTTTTAACCATTACTATAATGCCCTAGGTAAAATTATACTCCAGCTGATTTTATCTCCAAATAGCTGTTAGACATCTCAACTGACCAAGTCATTACCCTGCTTAAAATCCTTATTAACATAACACCATCTTTAATTTAAAGGGCATAATATTGAGTTACATAATCACAAGCCATACTTTTCTAGTGAAAATGTGCATTATAGTAGCTGGCTATTCCTCTCAGTAGCTGCATGTAGTATATATAAGAAACAATCTTTGCATTTACTCACTTCGTAAGATGAACAGCAAGACATGCATGTGTGCAAAAGTGTCCCAGCATTTTTACTCACATAATGCTCCATATAACATCTTATGCATGTGTTTCCCTGAGCATCACAGGGGGTAAAATACACCCACACCCTTCTGTTCTGCAAACTTGCACAGTACCATAATGCTGTATGGGGGTGGCTCACAGTAGCTGGGCCCAGGGAAAGCAGGAACCCCTCTGTGCATTCGTCAGCTTGGCAGACAAACGGCAAAGTGTGTACAGGTGTTCCAAAGCAGCAACAAGTGAGTTTTACCAATGACATGCTCATTATTAAATTTCTGTGAATTGGAGATTTATTGTTTAAGCTTTCCTTTTTGATTTTTCTGGTATCTGGCACTTGAAAATCAGATTTACAAGTTTTGGAGGAGGTTCAAAGTGAACAATCTGATTTCTCAAGCAGGAATGATGGTGATGATGACCTTGACATTAGCCAAGTCAGCCAAAGCTCTGTGACAGTGAAAGGAAGAACGATCTGCCAATACACACAGAGGGAACTCAGACCTCCTTGATTCAGATGACAAAGGAAATAGCAAAGTGAGTACATGTTTGACTAGTCGATGGTAGTAAATGGCTGTGCAACCAAATGGAACAACCAACATCAGAACTAGGTCTCAAAATACAATGAAGATCTTGACAGGCGTGAAACTTCTTGAATAGAATGCCAACACTGCCATTCAAAATTGGAAATTGTAACTGATAAATGCTACAAGACGATGTGAAACACACACATGCTGAAACACAAGGAAACATTCTATATGCAATGATCACCATACTCAAAAAAATATTTATTATGACACTGCACCAAGTATTCATAAAATACATGCCCTGTGAGATGTGAAGACATATACTTACAATTTAGAAATGTATCCTGGAATTCAGCCACCTGGTCTTTATTTGTACAGTAAAAGACTGAATGAGGTTGTGAACAGACTTCTCCCACCTGCCAGACTAATTGGAATGTGACATGGGACAATTGGTTTACACGTTTACAGTTGATACTACACTTGTTAATGGAGCACAAGTTGACCAGCATACAAACCATACACAAGAATAAAACAGAAATTCCAAATAAAATGTTGCAATTTCAAAACACAGAATTATGGGCTAGGGAAATGGTTCAGTAGAATAAGTGCTTCCATGGCAAGTGCAAGGACCTGAGTTCAATCCCCAGTTCTGCCAAAAATAAAAACACAGAATCATACAGTACTATCTTTGGATTTCAGAAAAATACATTGGCCTTATATATGGCCAAGAAAAACAAACTGGTACTGCTGATGTCAACACCGCATCATGATGCAAACAGTGATGGAGAAACCTTGACAACACTGAACCGTGAGGTGGAAACTTTACAGCAAAACCCAAGGCAGAGTAGGTGATGTTGATGAGCTATGTAGCAATTATAATATCACCTGAAACACAGAGTATGGCCAATGGTTGTGTTTTACTCAACCCTAAACATGTGGCGTAGTTTGATAGTTCACAAAGAAAATAACAAATGCAAAATATTACTTATGGAAGGGCTGTGGAGATAGCTCAGTAAAGTAAGTGCTTGCCTAGCAAGAATAAGGTCCTAAATTCAATCCCCAGTACCACAAAAAAATTGAGAAAAAAATATTACGTATGGAGAAATTTTCTTAAAGGATTGGGGCTGGAATTCATAAAAGATCATTTAATTCAGAGGGAGAAAATAAAATTTTTGCCCAGGGAACTACACAAAGAACGTGGAGCACACTGGTAGATAACAGGTAAACAGGCAGGTGAAATGTCACAAAGACCTACTACAAATAGAAAACTAAAAACATGTCAACTGTACCCTACTATAAAAGGATATGAAAACAGAACCTATATACATACATGATATCAATATAGGTGACATTTGTACATGGAACATGCAGTTATCATGTGTGAAGAATGCCTTGGGTGTGACATTTGAAGCAAAGATTATTTCTGTGGTAGACTTCCATTTGTATTTACATTGCAGTTTAAGTTTTTACTTCTAATTTTATCTTTTAGGTTTTGTAAGAAAATATAGAGCTGATATGAAAATGATGTAGTTTATTCTATACATGAAATACATATTAGGAATTTAAAAATTTATTTTAGTGATATTTTGTTACTGTTAATTATGCATTGTATAGTACAATAAGAACCTCCTGACCAAATGGCAAGATCAATGAAATGTCAAGTATGTCCTACAAAAAAGATAGGAAAGCAAAATACATGTATTTTTGGTATAAGCAATACATGTGTTTGGAACACACTTTTCATGTATGAAGACTGCCTTAGGTATAAAAATTGAAGTAAAGTTTATTTTTGCTGTATAGTTCTACTGTTTATTGTTATTTTTAGACTCAATAAAATAATAATGAATAATGAAAATAATATAATAAAACTCACAAAATTAAAATTAATAACATCAATAGAAACATTCTAAAGAATAAATGTAGACATTATACATACACCACAATGAGCCTTTAACAAAATTGGTGTCACGACCCGAGAGCTGCATTTTATCTTCAACATAAAACTGACATACACAATCTGCAAGGCTCTTTTAATTCCCACTGACATAGTTCCCACCAGTTAAACTCAAGCACAAGTAGCACCACACACTCACAGTGTTTTGTCATAGGTTCAACGGGCCATATAACGACCCCCCAGGAGGAATGTGCTCATTACAGGCTCAAGCATGTACTAATAAAAACAAATCTAGAAAATTGTGAAACCCTCAAGGACTACCCAAATTCACATACCTAAAATAGTTCTTATTGCACCTGCCCCAGCCCCAAATATGCTCCTGGATTCCCTTTCTTAGTTAACAGTAATGAGTATCCTGCACACTGGAAGACTCTAGATCCAGTTTCCTTTTCTAACTCTCTTTTTGTGTCTCTCACATTAGCCTTTGTCTGCCCAGGTTGCCTTTCCCCACTTGGAAAACTATCCATCTTTAAAAGCCCAGCTCAGACTGCTACTCCTATATGA